GTATGAATAGAAATATTTTAGTATGAATAGAAAATGAAYGCTCAAGTCCATAAATGGGGCAAACAAGATGAGAGGGAATAATATTCATAATTTAAACAGTTAAAACAATAAAATTCTATTCTAATGGTACAATGGACTGTGAACTTACTTAGTATTAATTAAACTCAATGTAATGGCATTTTCTATATTGAAATGAATAACCAGTGATCTGGAAATTCATTTAGACCATTAGGTTAATTACAGAAACCGATGGAAGTTTAATCAGACAATTACAATTAAAGAACACGAACAATGTGGGACAGATTTATAAGCATTTGTACCACCTCAATCATTTTTGCTGCATTCCACCACCGCTTCTTCCAAAACTGTAATCAATATATCAATTAAAAATGGGCCATCAACTTCATTTGCCCTTGAGTATGATAAAATAAAACGAATTAATATCGGATTTCTGCATTTTCATATTTTTCTTCCTTTAATTCTATCRCTTGATTGCAGTATGAAAGATTTGTTTAGGAGCTGATAAGCAGGCTTGCTGAAGATGAAACAACTCTAACATTTRGAAAATCTAAGCCAAAATTGACTTCAGTTTAAAATGTACTCATTGAAGTCAAAGAAAATTCTCTTTTATGGGCATGCTAAACTTGTGGGAAATAGAGGTGTTCATCTGCACATCATTGTGAACAAATATTAAAATATTTTACCATAAGTGGGACCTATTCACGTAGCTTACAGTGAAATGTCCCTTCAACAGCAGAAAAGTCCACTCAGTAATTCAAGTATCTTCRTGCTTACTTGGAGCTAAAATAAGACCCAAAAGATTCAGAGATCAAAGCTCTGATTTAGAGAGTAAAAAATATTTAGCTGGCTTTAAACCTCCCTTTATATTATATTTTCAATTCCATCTGTGCCCCGTTGGGGTGTGGGCAGCACAAGKGGACATTCCTGAGGAATGGGGTGCTGCTCCAGGCTGCAGCCTCACCCCACCAGCGAGGGCTGGGGGAGCCCAGGAATGCTGTGAACCAGTCCARAGCACGAGGATTTCTGCTGGAAATTCTTCTCCTGTTCCACACACACCAAGGACAGGGGTGTCATCAGGGGAGCAGAGCCAGCGAGGGCTGGGAGCCCAGGGACAGCAACCATGACATCAACAAGAGAGGGGTCCACGGCCAGGACACTGGGACACCCAACAGGTGACCCTGAAGGCTGGGACAGCTCCGTCTTTACAGGAGCCCTGCTGCAGCCTGCTTCTTCCAGCCAGAATACTTCACATTTCTACAACTTCATGTCTTCCTTCTTCCCTGTACTTTGGGTCTCATGAGCGTCTACTTTGTTCACATTTTCAGGCTCTTCTACGTTATAGAAAACTGGGGAAAATAGGCACAAAACAGCTCTTCCATCAATTCAGGCTTGTGTTTTCACCTTTCTCAACCATATATACCCAGCTGTGCTACTGTCCTTGGCAGTACAGTGATACAGACATTCAGAGACAGAMATTTTCTCTTCTTTGGAATCATTCTTTTGTCCAGCAGGGTCTTAATGTTTTCACAGATCAGCTCATGTGTGGCTCCAATTTGGAAGAGTTCCAAAATTGTTCTTGATATATTTCTCATTTACCAGGAGATACAAATTTCTTTAGGATTTTGAAATTTCCTGTGGAAGCAACTACTCTAAAGAAGCGAGGGCAGAAAGAGACTGTCAGCTATGTGCAGCCAAACTGTTCCATTCCTAAGTTTCAGTGAGAAAACTGAAGTTTTCCTGGGCCTCTGGGAAGATTCCAATGAGTGCTGACTCACTGGGATTTGGTGAAGTCCAATCTTTCCTGGCTGKATATAACTCCTTCCAATACTTGTCTACATCCTGCATTAATGATGCAGGATTTAACTGCAATCTGGTGGGTCAGTCCTGCCCTGGAGATGCCAATCCTGTGGGAATCCACAGCAGCCAAGGTTTCCTGCCCTGATTGTCCCACCCRGGGATGGGAACACTGGCATGCTGAAACCCTGCTCCCTACATAACAAATTATCCATTCTGAGAATTGRTGTGCAAATGAAAAACTGATCCAGGTCCCATCTTCTGCTTCAGCATAAGAGAACAGATGAGGCATGAGAGACTATTGCTGCTGATTTGTTCCACTGCTTGCAGGAGAAACAGCTCATTTCTTCCTGTATTATGCGAGGGGCCAGAAGTGATGGGAGGRAGCAGAGCCATGTTTCCATCTCCTGGCATATTCAGAGGGGTAACTAATCATTGTGCTGGAAAATGTATGGTGTGATGCACAAAATAGAACCTGGAGAAATAAAATATCAGAAGGGAAAGAGCAGCCACAAGAATTGGCTCTCTCTCTCTGAAGAGCCAAGGGGTAAAAGYGTGCAGAGGCTTCAGAGGTAACCAGTGGCCAGTGCAACTACAAACCAAAAGGTTTSGTGAGAAATCAAGCCGGACAAATTAAGACAAATACATCTTACAACCACGTTTCAGTCCTTCATGCCTTATAACTCAGGAGCAAAAGATGTACAGACAARTTTGACAACACTTTGAAAAATGGGGACTGTCCTCTTGCAAGTAACTGAAAAATTCTAAATGCTATTCACACTTAGAGAACTTCAAATATCTCAGACAGCTTCAGGAAAATCTCAGCAGACTCTTTCCCTTCTGTTAAAACATTACAAATTGAAAACCTCTTAATTCCGACATTGTAAGCAGTTCTGAAATATCACAGTTACCATATCAGCAGTAACAGAATAAACGATTAACAAATTATTCAAAAAGGAAGGCTGCAATATTGTTGTCTACATGGAATGATAATAGTACAAGYATTCATCTCCTAGACGCTAATGTTGACTTATCAGTTATAATTTCAATATTACAAATGTGCACAAAAATGGAATATAGAAGATCTTTAAACTAATAAAAGAAATGAGACGAAAGTCAACCTTCATTTCTGTTCACTTCTAGCAGAATTTCCTATAAAAATGAAGCTATTTTACATCTTTATTGGAAGTTTTGTAATAAGGAGAAATAAAAACTCTCATTACAATATTCAGTAATTGTAGTAATTTTGTGTTATTAGGAGTTGTGACCCTGTAGGGGAAACTGCATTTCAGCAAGATGAAATTTTATAAACAACAAAAGAAAAATCATGACTTGCACGCACACAGATTCAACAAAAGTGCAATAATTTCTCCTGCAAGGGCTACCAGCAATGCCTGTTATGAAACTGTGTATTACACAGGGCCCACTGGGAGGCAGATAGGCAGAGCCTGTTTACTTCAGTATTTGGAATAATTGAAAACAAACAGGTGTTTGTTAGGRTATCATTATTCAAGGAACACCACGGCAAAATAAGATTTTTCAGCGGGATTGACTCAGGAGACAGAATRGGAACAGTGAAGTCCAGAGCACTGAGGGATTCAATATTAGCAGAAATATCATCTGATGGAAACAGCAGAAATAAATTTCCTGGGATACGACTCAGTGAGGCAAYAGCAGCAACAGGGTAAAGTCATGAAAAGCTTTCAAAGAAGAGCAGTTTTCAGAAAATTATAACACTGCCCCCTCCTCTCTAAAAGAAGCTCCCTAATACTGAGATGAGTGAAATGTTTGGATCGTTTTGCAGAAAAATAATTTCCAGTCAGAAAGGAGGAGTGCACTAAAAATGTCCAAAAGGAGCATTAATTTAAACAGCAAGTACTTCACATCTCTGTGTTACTACAAGAAGTAAAAAATAAAACCCCACAGCTAGGGAAAGGTGACATCTTAGAAAATATTCTTGGAGCACCTGGAAGCAAATGCAGACTTAACTGACAATTTAATTTGCAATTTAAAACACTTGAAACATTTAGTTTGCTATGCATTTGTAAACTSCAGACTCCTGATTTAAAGGAGATCCCATATGTATCCTGGAATTTATATGGGATTTACAGGGGATCCCATAGGTGTCCTGGAGAAGCAGCAGCTCTAGGGATGCCATTGATAGCATTTGACATAAGAGAACTGCATGACTGTAGAGATGATCTCTATGGAACTCTTTTGTCCTCATTCATGGTTTTAATTTAAAAAAAAATAGTAATTTTCATAGTCTAGATAAGCTTTAATAGAACAGAAATGCATTCTAGATTGAATACCRTCCTCATAAAGAGCACGTCTGATAATGCTGTTAAATCAGACTGGGTATTTTTTTTTATGGAGCACCACAATAACACAGASCCAAGTTACTGCTGCTGCATTGAGCTCCAGGCCTCTCATCCCTCTGGATGCCAGAAAGAGCATCAGTGCAACCACCAATCCAATCTGAAACACTCTCAGGAGAGGTTTCTGCTCAGAATTTCAGAGGACACATCTCTACTCCAAAGTTTTGTGCAGAAAAATAGCAGCACCCATYGTGTCAGCTTGTTTCTGCTTTTCTTTTATTAGGGCAGCTTTTTATGACTCAAAATACCCCCTCACATAGAGGCTGCTCCTTTAGTAAAAAATGACTTCGTACTATGAAGTCATTCTATGAATAGAGTACTTCTATTTGCTTCCTGACCAAATCAAATGGTGGCATGATAAAATATGTTATGTGCAATAAATCACAGTTGTGAGCAGGACAGAAGAAGAAACACATCATGTTCTACACAAAAGGCAGAGCACCCAACAGTATTAGATTCCAAAAACTGTCACTATCACTAGAATTTCTGACCATTTCTGTACAACATTGCAATATAGACAATTTAAAAAAATATATATATATATACTTTGAGTACAAAACTATAACTGAAAACACTGAATTACCCGTTGACATTACTTACATTTTTTTACAAACACCACATTTACTTTTTTTTTTACAAACACCACATTTACCTTTAACAAGAGC